CACACTCGAAAAGCAATCCCTTGCGACAGAGAAAACGAGAGGTAAACTTTGTTTTCGGAATCGCATCACCTTACCTTCTTTTGCAGCCTGTGCCTCCCCCGTGTGTGCAAAGCGAAGCAGCCAGATGCAACATAAAATAATCCAAGACAGCCTAGTTTGAAAAACCATGGTGCATGAGCTCGAGTTGTTTATATATCTATCTATCTCTAACTATGTATATACATAAGACACACACATATATATACACATATAAGTCTCTCTCTCTCTGTCTGTCTCTCTGCCTTTCTCTATATATTCAGAAAGAGAGCGGACGCTTGCTTCTGCCGCGGCTGCTTCTCCCGCTGCTGCTGCTGCTGCTGCTGCTGCTGCTGCTGCTGCCACTCGGTGGGTCTTTCAGGGCTCGTTCTGCAATGTGCTTCAGTTTCCCCCCTGCTCGCACCGCCGCCGCCGCCGCCGCCGAGCTCTTCCCGGCTACCTCCGCTTTCCCTGCCCCGCTCCTCCTCTCCGAATTTGCTGCCCGCGAGCNTATCAGTTGGCCGGTGGTCGTGGATTCCCCCTTTTGGGTAGTTCTGTTAGTCTTTCGAGTGCTGGCGAACGGGAGGCGGGAGTTGTTATCTCGAAGAGGGTCCGTCTCTGTGTGTTCTTGGCCCCTGTTTTGTAGCGTTGTTTTCATTGAAACAGCCACTTTTATGTTGAAAGAAAGGCGGCCAAATGGAGGTGGAACAATAAAAGTTGGCCGGTGGTCGTGGATTCCCCCTTTTGGGTAGTTCTGTTAGTCTTTCGAGTGCTGGCGAACGGGAGGCGGGAGTTGTTATCTCGAAGAGGGTCCGTCTCTGTGTGTTCTTGGCCCCTGTTTTGTAGCGTTGTTTTCATTGAAACAGCCACTTTTATGTTGAAAGAAAGGCGGCCAAATGGAGGTGGAACAATAAAGAGCTATGTCCTTCCCCCCCTCCCCGGCGTCCCGCCGCAGAGGCTGCAAGGAAGGTGCTCGGTACACAAAACACACACGCGCGCGCACACACACACACACACAGCCCCCCAACTCTCCAAGGGAGGCAGTCCCCGGGTCGGTTCACACGGTGCCCGCATTTCCTCTTGGCGCGGGGCCGGTGGGCTAGAGAGACGCCGGGGGGGGGCTGCTGCTCCTGCTCCTGCCTCTTTCCTCCTCCTCCTCCTCCTCCTGTCTGGGGTCTGAGAAAGCGAGAACTGGGCCTGTGGGGCAGCCCCGGGGCCAAAAGGGGAAGATGTTTGCCGGTGCCTCCCTAGTTTCCGCTCGGAGGAGAGGGGGAGGAAGGGCCCCGCGGCCGCCGAAAGAGCAAACCCTTCTCTTTTTTAAGTTGCCTCGTTGCATCTTCCCTCTGGGATGGCGCAGGGGACGGAGCCTGATGAGCCAGCCCTTCCTTACCCAGTCCTCACCTGCAGCCCCAGTGGTAAAAGAAGAGGATGAACTGGGTGGTGGGTGCCCCCAGTAGCAGCACTGGGTCTTTTCGCTGCCTTGGTTTTTTTTCTGAATGGTCCTGATGGCCCCAATCCTTTTTTTACTTTGATGAACCTTCCGGAGGAAAAGGGCACATCGACAGTCAAGGGACTGGTAGCCCATCCCTTGCCCAGTCCCTGCTGTTAAGAGGAAAACAGGCTAAAGTACGTGGTCATGTGGAGGCGGCCAGGGCTCCTATAAGAGTCAGTTGTGAACTATTCTCACCTGCCCCTTCTCTATCATAAGGTAGCACAGCAGGGACGATTTGGTCTGCCTCCCACCATTATGCCGTTCCAGAGCAAGAGCTACTCAAGTGAGCAAAACAGAGGATGGGACAGGTATCAGCTCCTTTTGAGACCAGAAGCAGAGAGCGTGGTCAAAGGGATCAGGTAGAATAAGTTGCAACCCATCATTGCACCTTCTGTCTTGGTAGCCCAGTTCTCTTTGTCATGATGCCCACAGAGCGAATAAAACAGAATGGACAGAAGCAGCCACAGTCTTCTCTTGCATGCATGCTCCCACATCCCAAGAGCAGGAGGCATTAGAACAGAAGAATCCTCTGTGTGTCTATATACAGTATATGCTGGTGTGTGTCTGTCTAGCTGAGATGGGCTTTACTGTTCCCTGTTGATCTTTTTTTTACAACTGCAAATCAGTTGCTTTTTTTTTTCCTTCCAAAATACACATTGCAATGGTAGGCATGTGTTTAAAAGCCATACTTAAGGTAATGCGTAGCTTCAGCCAGCAACAACAAACATGAGAGCAAATATCTAGCAATTTGATCTATACCTATTTTTGCTGATATAGTGGCTTTTCATCCAGTGTTTTCTTCCATGTCACAGGAACTGACATCGCTTGAAATTGAGATCTACTTCTTGAGATTGTCTACAAAACGTTGTCTCTTAAAGTTCTTACACCACTCTTCCATTGGAACCACTTTCAGGATAACACACATACATACACACATGGAATTATTTTTGGTGTACTACTGTAATATTAAATATCGGTCTGACTCTTACTTTTATACATTACTTTCCCCATGCCATCTTGGAAATTCCTGAGAATTCTTCATCACACTCTTTCCACTCCTTTAATTTTTAAATTATATAGTAATTCTGCAGCCTACAGAAATTTATTTTTATATTATTGGATATATAAATATGGCTCAAACTGAGAATTTTGCAAAATGCTGGAAGTAGTAAAAAAAAAGTGAACAAACATGGGTAGTGCACCAACCACCAACACCCCCAAAACAGTTCTATAATTGTCAGCCTTGTGAACAGCAATATTCTTGGCATTCAAAACATCCAGAAAAAAGCAAAGCAAATATTCTTTCTTTTCTGAGATTAAAAATATTATATGAAGCCTCATGTATTTGGTCTTCTGATTTTCTGCAAACATCTGCAGTGAAACATTTGGTTCTGCTTCTGAAGCTGCTGTTGTAGGTTTAAAACAACTTTTTGTTCTTTGTAATTAAAAACCTTTGTATGTTTTCCCATTTTTTCAGAAGTTATTAGCATTAACAATATTACATGTTTTAGCATTTTCTTTCACTATGCCTTCTCATAATGTTTATGGAGAGGGCAGTTTAATGCTGACATAAAGCTGAGTGGTATTTGACATTTTTCCTCCAGTTAGACATAACCAGGCAAATAAACTAATCGGACAAAGTAACTTTGTTTTATTTTGTAAAGAAAGTTGTCTGTTTTCTAAAGTTCAGCCCAGTGATGCAAAGCATGCTTTGTCAGCAACAAAAAGAGGAGGAACATCTTACTGTTGATTGTGTTGAGCAATTTAGCAGTACCATTTATATGAACAGATTCTGAACAAATCAGCTCTCCCTGTACAAAGTACAAAAGGCAGATTTGTTTCTTGATTTAGAAAAATGTTTGAAATCAGATGTCATAAAACATGAATATATCTGTGTCTGAAATGGGAACCTAAGTAACGGTATATTGAATATTAAGCATTTGAATATATATATTTTATTTTTCTATATAACAGACCCCCCCCAGACCGTGTCCTTTTAAAAGATAATTAAATAATGCAAATTAAAAACTTGTTTTCATCTTTGAACCAGATGAAATCACTCAGGAAAAAACTGGAAGTCTAGAGAAGCCAACATCATATATGTATGTGTTTGAATGTATAGAAATATTCACATAGGCAGAGATGGAAATACTGATCTGCATTCAACTGTTATGTTTCGTATTCTATGCAGGCATGCTATAAACTGAAATTTATAAAGTACTTATTCTTTATAGTTGTAGACAGACGTCTACTCAAGACCAAAATAAAAGCAATTAAAGAAGTTTCTATTTATAATAAACATTCACACACTGCTTCTAGTGAACAACATATAAAACAGAATCCTATTGAAGTTAGCAGTTGAAATCCACATGGTTCTCTTCTCTTGACATTCGTGGGACTTAATTGTGCTTTTTCCCTTAAAAAAATATTATACAATACTGTATATAAATGTATTTGGATGAATAGATTTTTCCCTAAGCACACAACCTTTCCAATTATGCCATTGTTTCAGTGAATTTTTAAAAAAATAAACTGTTGTTTCTACCCCTGAGCTGCTAGGTAACCAGTCCATACCAATATATAATGAATATATGTTTGAATAGATGGCAGTATCTTAGCTGGCTGGATAATTCAGTGAATTGGGTACTTAGCTACAAAGCCGAAGCTCAGGGGTTTGGTTCCTCACTGTGCTTTATAGGTAAGCTGTACAATCCTAGAGCATCCCACAAGAAGGGAATGGTAAATCATTTCTTAGTGTTTTATATATAGAACCTTGGAAAGGATCATCATACATAGGAATCATCTTGACAGCACAGAATTATTTTTTGTAATTATTATTATTGCAATATTCTTAAATATGATTGGTATCAGAGATGAATATTTGTAACTCAAAATGCTGTAACGAGACAAACCCACATGAAACAAGAGGTAGTCCTGAGGAAGGACATTCCCAGGTTGGAAAGATCCGGCTCAGTCACAGAGCAAAGTTGGCTTCATTCGTGATCTCCTGTGTGTCATCTGATTGCCAGAAAGCAGTCCAAAATGTAAGCTATTTTTCCAACTGATTGCATGCTCAGTCCGGTGGTAGGGAAGGACTAAGTATGAGTAGCATTGTTCTTAGTGAAACAAGTGGATTAAAGCCAAGAGGATGTTCGGATGCTGATCGGCAATGATAGGAAAGGAAAGTCTGAAGCTGCACAGCACATATGATTGGAACATGATGTGTGAGAAGTTGAATCAAGGTAACCTGAAAATCAACAGAATGAATGAAATGTTTTAGAATTGTAATACTTAGAAGAAATGAATGACAGTGGATTAGTACAGGATAGTTCAATCAGATAATCATAAAGTCTTTTAATTTGGAGACGGCAAACTCACAAGAAAAAAATGCAGCTCTAGTATCAAGGCAAGAAGTAGTACAAGCAGTTAGTGACTATTATGGAAAGCCTGCCTCAATAATATCAATCAGGCTTCAAGAAAAGCCTGCAAAATAACTGTAATTCCAACTACAGATGCTGAGGAAGAAGAAACTGAAAGCTTTTAATCAAGGCTCCAGGACGAGGTTGATCACATACCTAAACAGGATGCACAGATAATTGTGAATACTGTAACTGGAAGGCAGAAGTAAGAAATAAAGCAGAACCAAACACTATTGGATAATTTGTCCAGGAGTCAGAAATGAAGCAAGAGAGCAACTCATAGAATTCTGTTAAGCCACCAATCTGTTCATTGCAAACCCATGCTTTAGGCTACCTACCAGGCAAGGTTACTCATGGATGCCAATAGATGGCCAATATTATGTATTCAGATGCAAAAGATGCTGTGTTCTCTCTGTCAAAACAAGACTGGTACAGCTGTTGAAATGTTTATATAAGAAAACACAGTAAGATTGAAGAAGAAAAATGAAATATAATCTGAATGACATTCCTGAATGTATCAAAGATAATGTAAGGAAAAGATCTGTGTTGCTAAAAATCAACTGACTGCAAACTGGAAGAACTGGATTTGTAAATTAAACCAAGATTAAGGATGCTGAACTATGAATTGGGGGCCATGTAATCTCATCAGGATAAAGCAAAGATGATGGAAACAATATACTGAAGAACTACACAGAAGAGATTGACAAATGGCAGGTTGCAATTTCTTCACCAAGGGATACTTCTTTGGAGCAGTTTTAGAAAATGAAGTGAAATGTGCTGTCAAAGCAGTTTGAAGAAGTAGATCATTAGGAGTAAACAAGATAACAATAGAACTATTTCTGTTTACTGATGCTGAGGATGTGACTAGATGTTCAAATTATCCTGACCTAGATCAGGCTAGATTGGCCTAAACAGGGTTGATTTGTGTTGATATGACATTTGAGATAGCCTTGTATCCACATGCAAGGGTCAACGACAGTACACCTCAAGCAACCTTATTTGCTCCTTTCACTTTCAGTTTATTTTCTAAGTAGTATATTGCATCAAAAGTGCCTTCCAAAACCTTTAAAAAAACCTTTTGCTTCCATTCTCTCCTCTTCCATGGGGGAGCAAGAGGAGACGTTCGGTTTACCAAGATCATGAAATGGCTTAAACAAAAGGACAGTTTAAACCATCCACTTAGGTTAGATTCAAGTGATCTCACATGCTGGAATTGAAGCAAAATAGAGTGATCCTATCCAAACACACACACTTGCACGTATACAGATAGTACCCCTGATAGGACCAAAAAACTGTGGATAGATATGGTTCAAGGGATGGGCTGGTTTGTGGTGGCTCATAAATCATATGTTACCAAGAAAAGAAGTGAGCAAGTCTGTCCCCAGAGTGTACCAAACCCATAGGACCAAGGTTTCCTCTAAGCCGCACATGCACATACCTCCCTGCATGGAGCTATTGCATTTAATTCGCAACAGAACCCTGCACATTGGGGGGGGGAGTTGCACACATGCACACAAAGGCGAAGTCATGCGAGAGAGGCAGAGCCATGCCTGGCAGGGCTGAAAATTAGAGGGTACGTTGTGCAAGGCAAATCCCCATCTAGTCAGATCCTGAATCTATCAAAATCTTAAGAAGAATATGCCTGCATGGGGGGGGGGAAAGGACAGCAGTTTACATACTAGAAATGTTCAGTATCCATCGCAGTCCCAAAGAAAGGGAATGTCAAAAATGGTAGTGTCTGTAGGACAACTGCATTAGTTTCCTATTTAAACTAAGTGATGGTAGAGATTTTGTAACAGAAACTAACCAGATTTTTAAACTAGATTCAGAAAAGGGATAGGAACTAGAGATTATAATTCAAGTACATTTTAACCAATGGAGCACACCAATTAATTTCAATTAGTTTTTGTAGCTCGCAGTAAAGTAAAGCCTTGCTGTGCGTACCATGAAAAAATTATGGTTTGTTCTAAAAGGAATGAGTTTGCCACAAGAATTGTCCTGATCCATAATCTATACATTAGACAGGAGACTATTATTAGGACAAAGAAGCAAAATTAGTTTCTATTGCTAGAGGTATCAGGCAGGATGTATTTTATCTCTCTGTCTGTTCAATATATCCGTAAAACATATGATTGGAGAAGCTTTATTTGATTCAGATGAGGGAGGGGTGGTATTTGGTGGAAGAGATATCAGTAAGCGGAGATATGTAAAGACACCATATTACTGTGAGAAAATAGCAAATGTCTTCAAATGTCTATTGAAGAAGGTTTAAGGAGAAAATACAAAAGCAGAATCGCAGTTGAACCTGAACAATCAAAATAAGGACAATAGAAGAACTGCCTAACTTCAAGGTTGACAATTAAGAAATTGAATTTGTTAAAGATTCTATATAGTTTGGTTCAGTCATCACTCAAATTGCAGCCAAGAAATCAGAAGGCTAAGATTGAAAGGGTACCTATGAAGAAACTTAAATAAATAAATAAATAAATAAATAAATAAATAAATAAATAAATAAATAAATAAATAAATAAATAAATCCTGAGGTATAAGAATGTGCCACCAGCAATCAAAGTCAATATCATTCATACTATGGTATTCCCAATAATTATCTATGGACATGAAAGCTGGAAAGTGAATAAAACTCAATAAATTCAATCCATTTGAAATTTAGTATTGGAGAGAGCTGTATTGTTCTGTTCCAGCAGTGGTTCTCACGGTGAAGCACAAAGCAAAAAGTTCCAGGGAGTGACATGATCTTTCAGTAAGCAGAGCCAAAGAGACAGAGCTGCCAAGCAACAGAGACAGCAGTGTGGCAGACACCCCATGTTGGACTATGACTTGGAAGATCTTAGGTTCTAGTCCCCACAGATAGTCATAATAGTCCTTCAGTGACCTTGGTCCACAGTTACTCTTTC